CTAATAAATTTAAGGTCACTTAGAGGTACCGATTTTACAATTATCACATTTTAATTAATCCTCTTCAGTCAGCATTGCAATGAAAAAATTAAGTTTGATTAGTTTTGTGTTCATCATTAAAGAAATCCTTCTCTAAAGATGTTGCATTTTTGAAACGAAGATAATGTGTGTTTGACGTTGAAGACAATATATAAACGAATAGAAAAACTTCAAAAACCACAGAGAAAAACCTTACCCAAGAAGGAAAACAAAAAGTTGAGCTATATAGCATCAAAACTTAGAACTTTGTTTGAAATTACGAAATTTTCGAAAGCTTTAATCATTAATTATGGATGGCAAGCTCATTCCAAAAATAACGCGAAAGTTCAATTTCGATGGGCAGCATTTATAATTTAGTCATACTCTGTACTTTTGAGAGAATTATGATTCTATAAAATGAATCAAGTGCATGCATATATCTTTAAGCGTCCAAATATGAATTTCAAAATTAAAACAATATCATACAATATAGAAATAATATCCTAATTGTAATTTGAAGCCAAATTCGAAATTTTGTGTTCGCTATTTTTTCTCGTGTCATCATTAAAATGCGTTTCCATCTTTTCATCTTATATGTTAACATCATACTTTACCGTAACACAAATTACCAGAGTTTGAAAGACTTCTTTTGCAACCATTTTCAAAGTCAATCTCACTGGAATACTACGAGAAGTTTCTCTTCGAAATGAATTGAGCTGAATACAAATAACTAACAATTATGTGATTGGAGGGCGCATTGAATACGTTGCAATGCTGTAGTGGTACATTAAAATTTAATGCTTGCAAACAGGTGTAAACAAAAATCATGCGGTCATTCATGCACATATGAAAAAATGAGTTTTCAACCTGGGTGATATTTTCCATAAGTTCAACAAAAGGTCTAAGTTATAAGTCAAAAGTTATTTAGGAAATATGCGAAAAAATTTGATTAATAAATGGCAGAGTAAAAACAGCATCGATCGTGAAGCACTATATGATAAAAGCAATGCTACACCAATGTACAGTAATTCCCACTTTTAACTGCACAATTTGGTATCTGCTGTTCTTTACATAAATTGATTCGTCCTTAACCAAAATGCTGTTATGTGAATAAAGTAAATTAAAAAAAAAAAACATTAATATATACGGAGTGTATAAACGTCAGGCAACCTGACATTTAGTTCTAGGACTTAACATCAGGCAGTCGATTTTTGTTTTGAAAAATCGTCGGAACAACCGTGATTTCAATTAATACAACAAGTGAAATGCAATTAAGACCAAAATAATAGTGTTCGACAAGTTTCTATAGTCACAAACACGGCACTTTGAGATCTTTCGACTGCCTGACGTTTAGTCCCAGAACTAAACGTCAGACAGTCGACTTCTTTTTGTGAAAAGTCGTCGGAACATTTTAATTTCAATTAGTAGCACAAAAGAAATGTAATAAAGACCGAAAAAAGGGTCATGTCAAACATTAGCAGTGGGAGGGGAGGTGGAAATTTAAAAGCGGGTACTGGGAATAGGGTGACATACCAGAGTTGTGGAAGTGAAATTTTCTAACCCTACTGATATTAGACGGGCAAAATTATCGTGACCCTCCCCGCCCCCCTTCAACCATTACCAGAAAAAATTATCATTGTCCCCAACCATCCAGTGAATGATGCAGGGCCTATAATTGGCCCATTCTCTCTTCATTTTGAAGGGATAAGGATTAGGATATTTGATAGGCAGTTGGTTAGGACATTTGATGCATCTATTCTATTAAACTATTGCTCACTTTATACATTTGATATGCTGTGCTTGTCTTGTTGTTGTGGCTATTGAACCAAATAAAACATTTGTTTTATCTATTTATACTGTGAACCAATTATTATTATTACTAATAATACTAATAAACTGCCTATCAAATATCCTAATCAGTATCCCTTCAAAATGAAGAAACAATAGTCTAATTATAGCCCTGTGCGAACACAATGATCGGGAAGATTTAAAAAACATCAATAAGTTACTGACTCTGTACTGACTCTGTAAATTAGAAGTAAATTTGTCTTTTATGTTCGAATTATGAGGCCACATGACAAATGATCACGTGACCACTTATTTGGTCACAAGTTATACAGTTTTGATCAATCAACCGGCTAAAGATAGTTTTCACACGGCAAGGTCGATGTTGTCATAGGTTTTTTTTTTGAAGTTGAGTCAGGCGACGTGCACCAATAAAGTATGTGTCTCTAGCCTCCTATCCAGGCAACTCTTTTTCTTCCTTTGGGCTTCCTTTGTAACGGTCATTTTTGCCTCTAGAGACTAGTGACGAGAAATGGAAACACCCCTTTCTCGCCCCAATTCTCCGTGTTCTGTTCTGACGGAACATGTGAGCACTGAACACTTTACTTTTCAAATCACTCAATTTCATTTCTAGTTGTTCAACCTTTGATTGAAGTTATCTTTTTTGCATTGTATTTCTCACAATCGTTGGTAGAAGATTGATCATTAATACTATATCGATCAATTCTTCTGTAAGTGGTAAGCATTTAACTTTGCCTTTAAATGACACGTGGCAAACGATTAGTAGCGAATGTAGATTTTTTTCGGTTTTGGTTCTGTTTGAATGCGTTTTCTCGGCGATTTCTTCTAATTTACGATCCTTGCATGCTATCACTGAAATACTGAAGGAATAGCAATGTCCTTAAACGTCCTATAGCGCCAGCAAAAGAAGGTTTATAGTTATTTGACTTTTCCTCTGGGAAATTATGATAACATATCTTAATTCCGTCTTCTATATAGACTTAGTACGTTTTACAGCGAGGAACGGAACAATTTTGGAGCATAGTTGAACAATATAAACAGTGCGGGAGATTAACAGATATTTTATTAGACTTGCTACAAGTCGGAATCTCTTTGAAAAAAAAAAAACGAGCGCAAAGTAAAAAAGACTTTGTGAAAGTCTAATATCTTACTTGTGGCCCTTGATGCATCAATTTTTCATGGCACTCTCATCAATCACCCTCGATCGTCGGCCATGTTGGACTTAGGTGTATTGTTAAATATAAAAATAGATACAGAACTCTATCTAATGTTTGACAGTGCGCATATAAACACTGTCTTTCTACAGACGCTACTCAATCTATTAAAACTCCAAGCTATTAAAATATCAGTATGAAATCACTTCATAATGAGTGCATTTAGAATCTTCTCGAAGATGACCCTCGGACTTTGTGGAGTTGTTAAGCTGGCATCTTCCACTCCCTTCTTTGATATAGTCAACAGACTTACATCTGCTCCCAGCATTCAGACAATAGCTGACACATGTTGACATGTCTTTGACGTCGTCAACGGTATAAAACACGTGGTTAATTAAGCATCTCTCATTGGTTGACATAAAAATAATGTCAGCAAACGTCTCTGGATCTAAATGAAAACATAACAGGCATTAGAGAACTTCCAAATCAACCAGTGTTGCATATTAAGGTTGCATATCAACTCCACTCGACGCATTCTAATTAGTTAAATTAGCAACCTAACCTGTTTCTGTGCAAAATCGGCCTTCAACCGGAAAGTCATGAAACTTGAACACGTAATGTCCATAACACTGCCTCACAAGCACACTGACTTTGCTGGCACAACAATCAGAGTCTTTACGATAGCACAATTCCATTGTTTTGATCCCATCTTCCTGCGAAGGATATTGACCGTTAAGCCATCCTGGAGTCTGGGTCCCACAGGAGCTTGACGTCGGACAGGATGATAGAATTTTTTTTCCCTTAAGTCGATACCATTGGGTGAAATCGACGGTAGTTTTGTCCGTAGGACGAGTACCCTCCTTCTTGGTCAGTTGTCGATCAGGGACATCAATTGATGTGTGATTCACGCATGGTTTAAAGATATCTGAAAATCAGAATAAGGCTAAGGTATGAAATACAAATATCAAATCAAAAATATTAGTTACATGTTTTCGATGTAATCACTTGAATTGCAAGTGTAAACGCACAAGGATTCTCTTAGCGATTGTCGATCCGCAATCGCCGTAGAGTTAAAAAATCTCGATTTTTTATTAATTTTAGGGGTTTTCGCTCAAAATGTACTCAACATATATTATTCTCCTGGTAATCTGTCTCGCTAAATATAGGTGGGCAACATTTGCTGCATTGTGTTTTTTTTTTTTTCAGCAAAAATTGTTTTCCAAACATGCAGAAAGATAAGGAAGATTAAAGACGACAATTCTTGTGCATCGCTTTGGTGCAAAATCTGACGCAACTTGATCTTTAACCGCGAAAAGGGTTATTCGATTACTTTTTGCCCCTAATTCTCTCACGTTGCGAGTCTTTCTTAACGAAGCCAAGAAGAATAGACAGTTTTTATATATTACCCTTTGATAACATTGATGGTATCGTTGTTTCGCGTTTAGCTAGTATCCTACTTACTAAGCTGTCATGAAAAAAAAAACCCAATGAAAAATTAATGTAATGATAGCTCTGATATTTTGCATCTTTTTAATATTGATCTTACCAAGAACGTCACGACAATAGCGTTGAATGTACTTTACTTGGGCGTTTGTCAGTGCAACGTTATAAATCTGAAGACATGATAACCTTCCAGGGAAAGCTTTATCCGCTGAATGTCCATACTTAGTGCCACCAATTTGAATCTGCAGTTTTTGGAGAAATGAAAACAAAATCCATACTCAGTGGTTTGTTGAGCAGGAGAGGGTAAGTGGGTGTGGAGGAGAGGGGGAAAGGGTATGTAAGGGTTTGTAGAATCTCAAATGAATTAACTTTTAGGAAGGATAGGTTAGATTTTATATTGAAATGTATATTTCATGCTGCCAGATTCTGAATATAAGGTTCCTATGCATGTAGTTTTATTCTTATCGTTACCCGGCATAATATAGATTTTATAAAGAAATTACACTCAAAATCTTTTTTTTTTACTTTGTCAAAAATATTATATTAGAAAAAGCAATGGAAGATCACTTACTAAGAACTCTTTCTTTTCTAATTTTTAACCCGCTTGATTTTGCATTTTACTAGATTACAAATGCTCTCCATGACAAGTGTTTATTTTTGCGTATATTAGATATATGCAATCAATGTTTTTGCAAAGAAGGTATACCTTGAAGTTTGTATTCAGCTCGTTTTTGGGTGAATCTGCCTCTTTTTTAAGAATCCCGTCGATGTAAAGTCTCACTTTTCCAGCGTTATAGTCATAGGTGAAACCAACAAATGTCCAGGCATTTTTAGCAATAGTATCTTCTATTTTAACAACTGAAAAGTCGTTTGCGTTATCTCGAGTATTCAAAGCGGCATAGAATATCGATGGCGAATGGATAAAGACGTGAAGGCCCCACTTGTTTACATCAGTTTCATAGTTTAGTATTGGCCCATACGTGCCTTGATTATAGATCCAAGTGAAAAATGACATATTGTATCTGGATGAATAATGAAAAATATATATTAGATGATGTAAATAAGTAGTTGTCGCTAGCTTAATTTTTTTTAATATTATCAGCTATGAATCCTAGCTACAACAACCAAATAAATATATATTATGTCAACAACAATGGTAACATCCTCGGGAGCCCAGGAGTAATCTTCTGTCGTTCGTTCCTCACTCCCAGAAAAAAATAGCACTGGGCACGTAGTCTATTAGACCTTGTTCTCGATTCGAAATTCAAAATGGCGATCATCAACCAATCAGAATGTTCGAGTGAATCACTCGACCAATCAGAAATTTACCAGCCGCCATTTTGAATAGACTTCGTGCCAAGGGATATTTTTTTCTGGGAGTGAGGAACGAACGACAGAAGATTACAAGTTCTCGAGGATGCCATGGTAATCGTCTTAACCTTATTCAGACTTGCAGACATTGATGTACATTTTATGTTGATATCGACATCTATTTGCCATGGCAACCAGTTTTTGACACATTGGTTTTCAATAAAGTAAAATATGCTAATTTTTTCATTTTTAAAGCTCATTTCTTGTTTTTTACCTATTTGAGCTTGCTACCATTGCTGACTCTACAATACCATAATTGCTGTTTAGCAACAAAAACGATGGGGGAGGGGTGTGTAGTTTTCAGTCATTTTTTTTCAAAGGGGAGAAACTTACTATTCCTTAAAATCATCACTAACACTTCAAAACTCACTGTTTCATTCGTTAAATGTTAGTTTGAGAAGTATTTTCTACATTTTTAGCTATTTGCTTAAATGTTTAGTTTTTTAATGGGGTGAAAAAAAAAATTCAAGATTGCGGTCCAAGATGGCCTATCCAAAGATGACGGACATTCTTGCCAAAATTGTAAATTTTACCATAAAATATCGATGAGATTCGGAGACGACAAAGACACTATAGGGAATGACGTCATCATAATTATGACGTCATAATTGTTACCATGGATACAAAACAAATTATAACTTAACAGGAGAGCAGTAACGCCTTTAGATATGGTATTTAACTGCTTATCCAGATCTAGATCTAGATCGCCATCGTAATCGCCATCCCTGTCACCGTCACCGTCATTGTGATTGTCATTGTTGTTGTTGTTGTTGTTGTTGTTGTTGTTGTTGTTGTTGTTTCGCTTGCAGGATTGGATCATCTGAAATTTTTTTGCAATCCATTAAAAGCATTTCTAGCTGAAAGCGAGGTATCGTTTGTTATTTTTGTGATTTTCCAATTTGTCATGAATTTTCTATGTTTTTTTAACACCAGCAAAATGGTGTATATAATGTATATCACCTCGTGTCTGTCTTGGATTGTTTTGGAATTTCAACATAGGCTGAAGGCTTTCCTGGAAAAAAGTGTGCACTTTCCGGTTGCCCATCTGGTCCAGTAGTTAGAGATACATCACCACTAGCTGTGGTAGGCTGAGGATTCTTACTTATGTCTCTTGTACCAAATTGTTTGTTCAAAGGAAGAAGTACCACAGGATCAGGAAAAGCTTGAAAAACAAAGTAGTTTTTCTCATTTTACATCACCTGTTTCTAAACAAAGCATTATTTGCAAAAAATTGCAATATCCATAACAATTAGCTAAGACTTGTAAAGTAAAAACTAACGCAAGTAAGTTTGTGTTGGTTAACATTTTAATGTTGTGCTCGACGTTTCGACGCTATCCGGCGTCATTCTCAAGAGAAAATTACATTGAGATATTCAAAAACAGAAAGTTATAACAAGATTGAGTAAAGTCCCATGCGGATAATGTTATGTAAAGATTTTCGCCTTAATAGAGTCTGATTGGACGTTGAGTGATGGCTTGATCTTTTTAATGAACAGCATCTCGTAGATGAGGCAGTCCGTTTTGCTCGAGCACTTTTTAAGAATTTTAAAGTTAGCGCTCAAGTCTGGTACCTTTGTAAAACCGTGGGAGGATTTATAGTGATTTCCGATGCTTGAAGAGTGGTGTTCCTGTATTCTTTGATATAAATGGCGGCGAGTATAACCAACATAGTCTGCATCACACAGACCACATTTAAATAAATATACAACAGATTGTTGGTTAATCAGCGGTGGTTTGGGTTCGCGCACTTTTATATCGTCTTGAATGGAACGACTTGTGAAGACAGGATATAGATTGATGTTTAGTCTATTGCTAAGTGAGTGAAGCTGTCGTTTGACTATGTTGGCGGATTTTTGGTCTTTGAAAGGAAGACTGAATCTTGCGGTCTTGATTTCGTCAGTGTTAGTGTTGTTGAATTCATCACTTGATTCTTTTTCTTTCGTCTTGGATGTAAATGAATTAATTGCCACGTCAATTAGGTCGCGTGGGTACTTTAACGCTACGAAGATTNATATTGCATTTAAAAAAAAAAGTGTGTTGGCAAAAAAATACGAAAGAAAGGAGAAAAGGTGAAAAAAAAAATATAGTCAGAAAAAAAAAACTTAGTTTTAAACTATTAACTAAAAAAAAACATTTCATTAAAAAAAAATGGGAAGTGTAATTTCAATCGAAAAAAAAAAAAATTTAGTCGTAAAAAAAACTATGAGAGAGATATAATTCTAAAAAAAAAAGTAATTCTCTTAAAAAAAATTTGATAGCACCCAATCGATAAAAAAAAAAAGATCACTTCATAAAAAAATACTTATTTCTTAATCATCAAGGAAAAAAAAAATTTTAAGCGTAAAAAAATAAATTTGAAAATCACAACAATTAAAAAAAAAAATATAAAATAAAAAAAATGTCATTTGAACCCTAAATTGATAAAAAAAAAATATTAACTTCAAAAAAAACCTCAACACAAATAACCAGAAWAAAAAAAAACTCTTTTGCAAAAAAAAATTTGACATTCAACTCCACTGGAAAAAAAAAAAAAGGTTCTATTAAAAAAAATTAGAGCTGAATAYAAATGTTTAAAAAAAAATGTGATTGGTGAAAAAAATGAATACGTTGCAAGTGCTGTTAAAAAAAAAATAAAAATTAATAAAAAAAAACAGGTGTAAACAAAAATCATGAAAAAAAAAACATATGAAAAAAAAAAATTTCTACCTGGGAGRTATTTGTTAAAAAAAAACAACTTATTTAAAAAAAATGTGGACAATTTATTAATAAATAAAAAAAAAAAAACAGCATAAAAAAAAATGAAGCACTAAAAATGTAATGTTAAAAAAAAATAAAGTAATTTAAAAAAAATAGCGGGAAACTGCACAATTTGAAAAAAAAAGTTATTTAATTAAAAAAATTTGTCATTAGCTAAAATTCTCTAAAAAAAAAAAAGTAATCAGAAAAAAAGAACATTTTGATATGAAAAAGGTAAAAAAAA